AAAAAACTGTGACCGTCTTTTTAAGTTTTTCAAAGAAATAGGTTCAGATGCTATTTGAAAAATACAAAGAATACAAACAAGTCAATTAGGTGCTGTCTTTTGTGGTGTTATTCTTTTCTTTTTTTTAAATGACTCTCGCCACTGGATAACAAACATCTGTTAGACCTCCAATCTACAGCAACATCACTTCAGAAAAATAAAAAGCCCCTGAAACACAAAGGAAATCTAATCTTTCATAGTAACAACACAGTTTTTAGTAGGTTACATCATATACTGATTAGTATTTCATTTTATCACTAACAATGTCCAACTAAAACAACAGTACCAGTGTCAAACTTGGACTCAGATTCTCCCTGTCTAATTTAAGCCACCTCAACTGAGATGCCAAATTGGACTGAGGAGCTTAATCCCCATTTAAGGCCGTTAGAACAGCATCTCCAGAGTGCAAATGATCTCTTGGGGGAACTCTTTTATAAATTGCCATGCACATTCAAGATAAAATGAAATACAAAGTTCCCATTTAAGGATTACTGTTCCATTAGGAGGTCTACGTACCTGATTTCTCTCACTGTCATATGTATAACTGTTCATAGCATCATAAGTAATTATTATTCATACCAGAACCATCAAGATTGTTCTCCATACCAGAACCATCAAGATCGTTCTCCAGGAATAGAAGTAAAACAATAATAGCAAAACAACCACTACTCCCAAAACCTCACAACTGAAACGGGGGAAAAAAAAACCCAAACCAATACAAAACTGAATACTCTATTCACTCTTCCTGGGCAGTGAAATAGATTGATACTTGCACAGACTCAGTCTCTACACAATGCAGTGGCAACTACAATAAATTGTGTGCCTTCTCCTTCTCTTTTGCCCCTACCACACAGTGAATTTACAACCACTAATGCCGAGACAGGGGGTTGTCACTGTTTTGTTGTCAGTTCTCCAACTGCCCTAGCACGTCGTGGAAGCGAACTACACCCAGTTCAGATGCAACCAGATCTCTGTGATACCTGTCTAGCTTTCAGTTCATTAAGGTCTCGCTTCACCCACTGTATAAAGTTTGCGATGATTACAGGTTTAGTGTCTGTGCTTGTTCTAAATCCATACAAATAGCAGATGAAAAGCAATGGTAGTTTACCTCTTTGTTCGCTAGAGACAAGATCTCCTTGCATTCCATTTATCAACTTTGTTTCTGTATCCTGAAAAAATACAAAAGAAAGGGCTTAGGTTCATTAGATTTGAGGAAGTTTATCCAATTACACATCTCCCCTGACAGGAACTGTGTATCATTAAACACTTCAGAACACTTTCCACAGAAAGATATGAAACTACCTACAACTTCCTGAGTGTGTCACATGATAAAATGACTGCAGGCGTTTGAGGGGATCGATAACCAGCTGTGAATTGGTGGCTGAAATAAAAACCATTCATTTACAAGAAAATGCCAGAAGCAGAGATCTTCCTACTTCAGGTCCTTGGCAGGCAGGCAGTTATTTGCAAGTAATTTGAAAGCATGTTGTTCTTTGGGGCCGCAACTTTCATTTACGCTATTAACGGAGGTAGAAGTCTTTTCTAAAGAAAAAACACTCTATATATTTTAGTTAAAATATAGTCTGCAAATATTTTAATACTTATCACTGAGTAGCATCCACTCATGAATGGACAATTTGTAAGTCTTTAAAACATGTTATTTACTTTATTATGTACATAGCTACATCTCCCTGTTTGCAGTGTCTTATATGTTCCTTAACCAAAACAAGTAAAAGTGAGATTTCCAAGGTCTTTTCTCCACCCTCCCCCATCAAGGTGTTACATTTTTTACTTTCTTCCTGCCCCAAAACCCCACAACCCTTCAAAAACATACTCACAGAACTTTGAAGGCTGCTGGAGAAATCTCTTTTTGTTGATACGGTGGAAACGTTTGAAGCATGTTCTCCAGAAGTTGCATCAATCCATTTATTTTCAGATGTACCTATAATGTTGGTAGCCATACTGGTGAGATTGAGGATTTTATGCCTTACACGTGGCAGGGAAGGCTGGTCTTTGCCCCAGTCTTTTTGGTATGTGGAGGATCAAGAAATTAATGTAGACAGTAATGTCAAAGAACAGAACAAGAGTTAGTGAAAACACATTAAAATAACACAAAAAAAGCACATAACAGAAGAGGGAGAGACACAAATCAGGTGGAATTTGTGAAGACAGGAAAAAGGGCTTTTATGAGCAGACCGCCTTCCCCAAAAATGCAAGTGTTAGTCATAAGCCAGGTAAAAGTTTACCAGATGTTTTGCTAATATGGACTACAGCAGCTCAACATTACAGAGCAATTAGTATTCATTGGAAACTATTTCATTAGCATTAGTAAGGATTGAGAAAATTCTTCCAACTTTACTCACACAAGGTACAATTTGACTCATACACTATCCAGGAAGGGCCATTTTCATGTCCGCACTTGTCAGGAAGCACAGAGGGCAAAAAAAAAGGGAGTCTAAACTAAATTAGCAAAACTGATGAGGTGAAGACAAATTATAATCTTCTCTCAGACTCCATCATTTATCCCCTCCCACTACCTAAAATTTATTGAACGAGGAGTTCTCCACTAATCTCACTCTTCATTTGTGCTAGGCCTTGTAGAAGTTGTGACTTGTTTCTTGTCTCTTCATCACCTCACTGTTTTTCCCCACACTTATTCTTCCTAGCTTCCTACTAAAAGAATGCTTTGTATTTATTCTGTGAAAGAAGTCATTGGTCACACTTCCAACTCTGGACTGGGACTTTGAAAAGGTATCCTGATTAAACCCATGGCAATTCTAGAGATGCTATGAGGCCTTCAGCCAGGATGGATACCCTCACTAGCCAGAGTGGGTAGTACCATCCTGGAGAGCTTACAGCATCACAATAATTAGGTCAACGGCCAAAATCACAGCACAGAGGTGCTACATCAACCACAAGCTCATACGTCACCTGAAACACTCCCTGAAGAAAGGAACACAAGATCCTCCTTCCCTGGAGAAAGGGAGCTGCTGACTGAGGGGGAGAGGCTTTAAAAAATTGCTATCCTATAGAGACCAGCCCCTGTTCGTTTTTGTGGTATGGCAGGAAAGAAAATGTTATATTCCCTTGTGTGGTGGTTGCACACTTTTTTACCTGTGCATTCTCTCAGAAACAGGTCAGAGCACAAGAGAGAGGTCAGTAGTTCAATGCTTTGTAGACTTGCTTGTCAAGACATTTCTAATGCACGAATAGTTAAAAAAGCCAAGTTGTGTTAAAATGCAACAGACAGGCTAGCAAACTACTTAGCTTAGGTACATGTTACTACTGTAAGGGTAATAAGGACTCTCAGCTGTCAGGTGCAGCAGAGACAAAGCTTATTTGCCTTACAGAGCATCTGTATCTGCCTGACGAAACAACTCACCATTCTTTCCATATCGTCTGACATCCATGACCAGGTTTCCAGTTTCTAGTGCTTTGCCGATAGCTTCTTCCCACTTACTGTAGTCCATATGTGAAACCTTTGTGCCGTTGATAGCAATGATCTCATCATCTACATGCAGCTGACAAAGTGCTGCAGGGCTACCTGCAGAAAACAGAAGAAAAATAAAATTATGTCTCCACTCACAATTATTTTTTTTTACCACGGTTGTGACTGGGGGAGGGGGGAAATCATCCAAAGAAATGCTTATTGGTGGATATTCAGGAAGTCTTTGAAAAATCGACTATACTGTAATATGAGGCCAGTAAACTCAGTTAATATCAAAGAGGTGTTTCAATTTGAAACTTATGAAAACTACAAAGAATATCAGTCTTTTGGACTGGCAAGTATTCACATTCTGGCTAGCCCATTTATTAAACCACCTCTGGGCCTGCTCTTGCCTTCAGTAAGTCCCCTTTATAATCTGCGATAGAGAAAGAGGCAGCATCACAGCGTCTGTAACCAACGATTAGCTGAAATTCAGCCAATGCTTGGGTAATCCTCTTATTTGCCAAAAAAACCCAGCCTCCACTTTCTTAATTCCAGTAGAAGCTGGCTTTCTCATATTCTTATGTACATTTTCTGGGCTCTACTGACAAGAACATGCTGCACTATTGCTTTGCTGAAATAGTTTGTTACCTCTGAATTGACTGGTAATTGGACTCAAGACATTGCTACGTGCTGTCCCATTAGACTTCTCTGGATTCTACTTATTTTGTCAATTAAGAGCAAATTTTATCACAGCTTGGACTTTGAATTCTACTGATACTTTGCAAGACAGGCTGCACTTTATACCGTTTTTCATCTACCACTAAACATTGGCAAGTGATCTCACTAGCCTAAGGACAGAGAGCATAGAGGAGCAGTTAACAAAATTTTTCTATTTAATTTAGAAAATGGATAAGCTGAGAAACTCAGACTTGCCTAAGTAAGATTTTATGAATTACATCTGAATGGTTCTTCCATTAACAATTATTCCCTTAGCAGAATATAAAATGGAAAAGCTAAGTGAAAATGTAGTTAAAGATTGCACAATAAATCCTCACGTTAACAAAACAAACTTGAATTACACAACTGAAGCATTTTCCAAAGTAAGCAGTGAAATCCACACATCGGGTTTAAAATATACCAAGAACAATGCTAGATTACATTATCAGAAGCAAATGTAGACAAGCATGACAGAAGAATTTAGACACCATATGTTTCATCCTGACCTTCTTCTGACACACTGGTAAAATGCTGCTAGAAGTCTGGATCATCCACTAAGGATTCAAATAGCTTTTAATATTCCCGGCAGCCCAGGAAGTTAAGAAATGAAGAAATGTTATGTTTCCTAATACTGCACCAAACAGTGATCATACTTCACTAAAAAACAACGTTAACTACTATGTTAGAAGAGCATAGCTCCATATTCTGTTTTTCTGCATTCTTCTAAAGAATGGACTAACAAGTCCATTAGCAGTTACCAGTAAAATTTTCAAGACACACCAATTACTTTTAAGCAATATTATAGAAGAAAAGGTATGGTTTTCATTTGGAGGAAGAAAACATGGGCAATAAACTGGAAAAAAAATGTGCATTTCCTTAGAGCTAGAAAGGTGTTAAAAGAATTAATGGATTTTTCAAATCTATTAATGGAAGGTACTGTTAGGGATACTATTGAAGATACTACCACTGAAGTTATTATTTTCAACAAGATCATACTACATTTGGAATTCTGTCGTGATTTCAAAAATCTAAGATCTTTAGTGTCGTAAAGTTTGACTACACTTAGACGGAATTTTGTGCTCGCAGTACAGGGAATGCTTTGGGCTCAAGGAAAGACATCAGAACTGATAATTTCCCTGTTCTGTGTTGTGACAGAATGAGCTCTAGAAACCATAGAAGGTGGTGTTAGTTTTACTCAGATAATTTGATTGGGATGAGACCCAGTTCAGAGGTGAGAACAGTACCTCAGCTCAGTTTCGGTAAGCACGTGAGGGAAAAAGTGGGTTACAATTCAGGTTTTAGGAAAGAAAGGAAATTTAAGATTGCATAGTTCCTTCCAAAATATCACCAGAAAAACACATCCAGACCATAGATTTGAATGAATAGCAGCAGTCTCGAGACTGCACATGTAGACTTAACACAGAGCCAGGACAACTTACACCGCTCAATTTTTGGCACATAACTTTGCCAGCTGCTCTTCCTCTACTGCCTCTACAGTCTGTGAATAAAAGGGCTTCTCAAGAGTGCAAACCAGCGCACCTATACTGGGCTTCTGCTCTAATTCACCTCCAGAGAAGTCTACAGAGACTAGCTGGCAATTCAGGTGCTAGAAGTTATATGGGGCCAGTTGCCTTTCTTTGTCCAGTTCCTCCAAGACTATAGTATTTACGGATATTTCTTTATGCCTATATATCCTCTACATATTGAGGATTTTATTTACATTACATAAAACAGGTATTGCTGTTTTTAATAAATTTCCCTGAAGGTAGAAGATTTTTCTTTCTTACCACCGCACTATGAAAACAAATCCAATCAAATCCAGCCATTTTCCATGCGTATTTAGTTATCTCTAACCTATCACCATCTGTTGTTATTACAACAGATAAAAACTAGCTCAGAGTCATACAAAAACATTAAAACTTGAAGCAAGTGGGAGAAACTTACTTTGTCCTACATGGCTGCAAGTGTTTGATGGCAGACATGTGCACTCCTACATCAACAGCATCTCAAAAAATGATTGCAAATAGGGTGGGTAAAAGGGAAAGAACTGAAACAATAAAGATTATATGGCATTGGGGAAGCTGGCAGAACAGTGGCTAGATAAATGACTTTAAGGCTGTTTACCTAATTTTTAGCATAAAGGTTGAAAATTCCTTTAAAAATTAGTACTACCTTCTATATGTAGTGAACGGGTCTCACTGAAACACGTGTTAAAAGCTTAACTCTTATTAAGCTTTTTGAGAACACTTATAAGTAGTTAATTTTGCTTGCCAAGTAGTTTTCTTAACAATTTTTTGAAGGAAAAGCGTATGTAGAATACAGAGTGATTTTTAAGTAGTAAAAAAATCATGTATATAGTTAGCATTACAAGATGTCAAGACAATCATAGAAAGCCTTCCTGGAAGCTATTTCTGGTCTCAAGAAAGAGAAGAAGGTGACTGGGAACAGTTGGTAGAGATTTGCTAAGCCTAAATCATGCTTGGTCAACCTGGTTGCCTTCAATGATGAAATGACTAGATCTGTGGATGAAGGGAGAATGGTGGATACCATCCACCTTGTCTTTAGTAAGGCTTTTGACATGATCTTCCACAGTATCCTGGTATCAAAGTTGCGATGGTATTGTCTACACACCAGATGGGTGAAAAACTGGGCTGTCAGGCTCTATGGGTAGTGGTTAATGGTTCATACTCAGCCTGAAGGCTGGTTACAAGTGGAGCTCACCAGGGATGTATCCTGGGACCTGCCTTCTCTAATATGTTCACCGATAACCAGGAGGAGGTGAAACACACCCTCATCAAGTTTGCAAACCACGCCAAAAGAGAGGGTGACTGGTAACACTGGAGCACAGGGCTGCCGTTCAGAAGAAGAACCTGACATTCAACAAGGGCAAATGCAGAGTCCTGCTTCTGGGATGGACTAATCCCAGTGACGGTGTAGGCTGGGGGCTGATGGGCTGGAGAGGGGGATCCTGGGAGTGGTGAGGTTAGATGAACACTAGCACGACTAGCAGATCAAGGGAAGCAACTATCCCATTCACTCAGCACTTGTGGCACATCAATACGGCGTCCAGTTTTGGTGTCCCACTGTAAGAGAGACGTCAGTAAACTGGGGCAAGTTTCATGGGAGGCCACTGGGACGGTCAGGGCTGGAGCACTTGCCCTGTGAGGAGAGGCTGAGGGGTACAGGCTTGTTCAGCCTGGAGAATAGAGGCTGCAGGAGGACCTAACAGGAGTCCCCCCAGTACCTACCAGGAGGTCACTGAGAAGGGAAGGCCTGCTCTTTATTGAAATTCATGGCAGGAGGACACAACACAGTGGTTGTAAATGTAGACAAAGGTTGGTGTGACTGGATATGCAGGGAAAAATTTTGTCTGAGAGGATAATTATGCAATGTCCAGAGATGCTGTGCAGTTTCTATCCTTGGAGGGTCTCAAACCCACCTGGGTAAAGCCCCAGGCAACCTGGTCTGAATTCAGTCCTGACACTTTTTTGAGCAGGGGTTTGCTCTAGGTGATTTTCCAAGGTCCCTTCCAACATGAATTATCCTATGACTTATCCTTAAAAATAGGAAACCCAACATTCAGAAGTGCCCATCTGAAAGCACATCTTACTCTTTCAACAGGCTGTCTATCTCTTTCGCCCTTCTTTAAAGGAAGCTACTTTTTTTTAATAAGGAAACAACACGAGTCAGTTGTTGGAAAAAAAAAAGACTTTAAACATGTTATAAAGAAGAATACCAAGATACAGTCCACTTTCCATTCAATCTTTATACTTTGCACCCTTCCTTGCGAGAATGGTAATAAAGCATGACCAAGATAACAGCTATAAGGGCCTTTGTCTTCCCCTTGCCTACAGAGATGGGGATAGAGTCCACATGGACCTTTGTGAATGACCAGCAGGAACATTCACTACCCCTCACGTTTCTCATTTACAGCTGGCAGAGCGAAGAGGCAGTCCTCTGCCTCCAAGTAACAAAATTAAACCAGATGCCTAGCAGCAGGGAAAGCAAATGGAGAGTTATTCTTCATGCAAAGCGAATATTAACGATTACAATCTAATTATGAGAAGTACCCAGCTATAGTGAAGAGAGGTCTAAAAATTGAATTTGAAATGAAGAGGGGGGGGAAAAAAAAAAAATCAAGGCTGCTCAGTAAATGCTGTTAAATGGTATTTTTTCCTCTCTGGAAAGAATAACAAAGGGCTAACTAAATGAGAAGTTTCCAATTATTTTTCCTTTCTCAGGATGATCTTGTCTTAGCTGGAAGAAAGGGCACAATTCAATATTCCTCAAGTATTACATGGTAATGTGTATAAAATACCATACATTATGGCAATTCAGAAAACAAGCATTACATGTGATTTGCTTGGGTTTTTTATTATGTTTTCTTGAGGTTTTTTTAATTAAGAAAACGGTGCTTGTTCTCTGCAGATGACTACTAAAGCTTAGAAATGAACTTTACGTATGTTTCATTTCAAGACAAAAATGTTTGGTTTTCCTCAGTATTAACACATCTGAAAAAAATTGCACTGGAAATCAATTTAGAACTTGCAACTGCTTAAAAATACCAACTGGCTCCAAAATTCAACATGACTAAGAAAGGGGAAAAATCAAAATAAAAATACTCACGCCTAACTTAGTTTCCTCTGCATGTGTTTACAAGCCACATGAAGTGAAATCTTTTAAACTTAGCTGAAAGGAACAATCTGGATATCAGAATTCTGTATGTGCCCCTTACTACTGTGCTGTAAGGGGCTTAGTGAATGGTTTGAGTAATCATGTTTATGCTTTTTCAGTGGTTATAGAAGTGTCCTTGATTAGGAAAATAAATTTTTGGTATTTCTGAATTCAACCCATTTCAAGAGATGAAGATTCACAGAAATACGTTAGCAAATTAAATACTGATTTTTCAATTCTCCACCTGTTTTATTAAAATATTTGCAGCATTCTTAATAGCAAATGCCTTAATGTAGAAGCTTCTGCAAACTAAACATAAGAATAAAAATTTGTGCAGTTAATACACATTTACCTTCTTCAACTGTCTGTACAAAGGCCCCTGAAGAACTCCAGTTCGTTGTAAACCCAAAGCTGCGACCGTGGCCAGGTCTCTGGTTTATACTGATTCTCATTTCACTGTACTGTTCCTGAAAAATAAAACACGACACTACAGTATCTGGTATCACAGGAATCTAAATGAGGGAAAGTTTATCCTCTAAATAGGTGAGGCTGCTCACAATGTGCACTTTAATCATCTATTATTAGCATCACAGACAAAGGAAACAGGATTGAAGTCAGTTAACTAACTCATTTGGTTTTTTTAGTCAAACAGGTGTGTTTTCAGTTCATGTTTATATTTTCTCTATATTATGTAATATACATATATTTAGCTGTGCATTTCTCATATTTTAAATGTTTTGCAACATAATGCTACAAAATGTCAGAAATTTGAGGATGCTAAACCTCAAAATGGGTCTTCATAGATCATCTTGTGAATTTGCAGAACTGCCTCTTCAGAGAACATCAAACAAAGATGTGAAAAAGCTAGATAACAGTAATTCATCTTACATTTTTCTTGCATATTTTACAGTGGGCATCATCAGTTTCCTTTAGGCTCAATGCTGCAACTAGGTTTACTTGGGTGAACAATCAGCTTTTTAATTTTGTGTGAAATACTACTAGCTTGCTACTGATTTTGTAATGGAGGCCTTAGATAATAAAACTAATCCCAGAATTAGAATCCAGCTCTTCCATTCGAATGGACTTTCAAAGATGCTTTCAAAATCAGAATCAAAGCCTAACATTACCTTTTTAAACTATAGAAATATTTGCTTGGGAAAACATTTTGGAATGCTTGCTTTCAATCCCACACTGTATTATGAACATGTGTTGCACATATTAACATTTTAATGTGAACTCATTAAAAATTAATTAAGATACCCAAATGCATGTTATTTACTTCATTATCATAGAACTGACATAGGAAAGGAAAAAAAGGAAAAAAAAAAATTATAGGCTTTTTCTGTCAAACACTTAAAACAGATATATTCCAGCACCATGCATGTGGAGAAGACCCCACACATGTACTAAATTTGGTGTGCTAAACGTACACCTGCATTTTAATTGTCTAGCAAACCAGCTTTCCTGAAGGGTAGGATTAATTTTCCCTAACTTGAATTATTTGGAAGTCTATGTATCTAAGCCAATTCCCCAAAGCTCCCGTGTTGGTAGGATGCGACAGGCTTCCCTAACTTGAACTATTTGGAAGTCTATGTATCTAAGCCAATTCCCAAAGCTCCCGTGTTGGTAGGATGCGACAGGCAGCTGCAAGGAGCGCCGCACAGGCAGACATATGTAGTTAGCCAGAGACTCCAGGCAGGATGCAGCCGGAGTCCGAGTACCCGAGCACTAGGTGTGGGAGACAACAACATTGCAAGGCAGCATCCTGAGGTTTCTCCTTGTTATTACAGGAATGTTCATGGTAAAACACTCCCCATTATGGCCCATGGTCAAAATTAAGTCCTTTCTTCAAAACACAGCTATTGGCTTGCAAATGCTCCCATACATCCCAAGTCCTTGGGTGAGCAGCAGTACATTAAAAGTGAATCTACTAACAGACAGGTTGGCACAGGGAGTTAGAGCACATATAAAGCTTTTGAATTTGAGTGTGTTCCTGGAAATTACTGCTGTTGTTATTTTTATTTCCTCCATCCCAACACGGCTCTTCTTCAAACCTACCTCTTGTCAGAGGAGTAATGTGACTTTGTGTACTGAACTTCATCATTTGGACAGGTCATCTCCAAAACACTTAGTACTCCACAAACCTGGTCTTATTGCCCTGATGCCTAGTGAACTATATCAATCTCTCAGCTCTGGCAATGATTTAGAAACAGGCCAAATGGAACTTGCACTCCTTAAGTTATAGCTTGTCTGAGGCACAACACAAGCTTTTTAAAATTTTTTTTTTTTTTTTCAATTTTTTTTTATTTAGGAAAACCACATTACTTATTTGCAGGAAGGACAATTTATAATTTTGTCACTAATTACAGGGGGGAAAAAAATGGACCAAGTACATTTTGTTCTCATTTGGCTTGCTTAAAGTGATGCAAAGAACCTGTATCTAATCTATGTTTTCACTGATAAGAAGAGCAATTCATTCCTCTGCCTGGTTTTGGTACACAGAAAAAAAAAATAAAAAAAAAAAAAATTCATTATTTTCTTCCTTATACAATAATCACAGTTTCAAAAAATTATGGTAATTTCATTGGAATGGCCAAGGGGGTATCAGGAGTATTAAACTGAATTGCGTTCCTTTTCCACAAGTGATTAGGAAGAAAAATGATTTATAAAAAGCTGTTGTGGGAAGTGATTTCATAAATCAGCATCCAAGGTCTCATGCTCCTCATTCAAGCAACTGGCACAATTAACTTTTACAGCAGCATCAGGAATGCAAAGAATTAATTTCTAATCTGTCAAGGGGTATGAACCACATCATTAGAATTACAGAAAGGTATTGACAATTAAGCTATTGCTGATCATTTTTTAAATGTGAAACATGTAATCAATTGGAGGAAACAGCACTTCATGACATGTATTCCAAAAAAAAAAAAAAACAAACCATTGACAGACCCAACTCCTAGATAAGCACATACAAAAAGAGATGGCAATTTGCTTTAAAATTCATTGATGTTAACATAAATTAGATTAATTTCAAGTAAATAACTATTTAAAAGAAAGGGGGGGAGGCCTAAAGCCACAACAGATGGAAAAAAGGATAGTATGATACTGATGTTCAAGGCTGGCCTTTGAAAAGCTGATGTTTATTTTCCACCACCAGTTTAAAAGTGCAAATGAATGCTACAGCACCTCACATCATTTATCTCACTGACATACCCAACTGTGTGCACAATGGGCGCATTTGGAGAATAACAAATACTTTGCAAGCATCAAACAATATTTAGAGGTTTGAATCGGACTGAAGTGAAATTAAGCACAGGACATATAAAGAGTAGGGGAAAAAATGCAGCAAAAGAACCAATTATTTTCTCTTTAAATATTTTCTTTCCCCTGAATTAAATAAAAGGAAACAGTAGTTCTCCAAGCTGTTTTCTTACTACCAAAAATACTTTAATTAGATGTAATTTTATTAATTTTTTTTTTCTTTTACTCTGCTGTAGCATTCAGTTACACTAAGTAATCACGTTATTTACACACTTACCAGGGATTTTGAATCCTCAGGCTCCGGCAGACTCACATTTTCTGCAGAAGACGCAAGTGAAAGAGAATCAGGAGGAGAGCAATACTCTGGTTTAAGAATACTGCTTCCAGCATCTTGGTCTTGGGATTTTACAGGTAATGCCAAACTCGGAGGAGGTGTTGAGTGAACACCTTCTTTTTCCTCCTCCTCCTCCTCACCTCTGCTGCTGAACGATCTAGCGGAGAGAGGGTGTGCAGAGTCTGGTTGTGAAAATGAACTGCTAGTGAACAAAGTTTGAGTTCTTTTAGTTTTTTCTACTTCTCCATTGTACTTCTGGGTATCATCCATCTAGGACAAAAATGACAGTTTGGTAAGTACGTGCTTTAAAAAAAAAAAAAATCATTAATCTTTCATCAGTCTGAATATTTAACAAAAAACCCTCACCCTTTCATGCAAATTCTGGTTACTGTATCCATTACTAATTACCCATTTTAAAGAGCAGCAACATATTTTTTTTCTCTTGAAGAGCTTGCAGAATAAATAGTCCAGACTTTTTAAGATAAAATTGTTAAAATCATCTGCTTAGAATGATTTGCATTCTTACCATTTTTTAAGTTGAGACAAATAGGGATTTAGGACAAAGCTATGAAAATCAACATAGTAACTGTTGGGGGTGGGGGGGAATTAATTTCTGTGTTTCAGTGCTTTACTGAGCAGGCAAATTTTAGGCAAGCATAAAGTTTCAATTTCAACAAAGTCAGCAGAGCAGAGGAAACTTGTATCACCTGAAAAATGGTCTTTAACAATTATGTTAACTTAGCTTCAGACAATTATATCTGACGAAGGCAAGTTTTTTGGTAAAGAACACTAAGGAGACTTACTACAAGGAATAAAGAGATTTTTCTGCCAAATACATTTATCAGCCTTATTTCTAGGAGTTCCTTTAAGTACAGAAACATGAGTAAATATCTAAAGCCGTGACAGAATTGCCTGCTCTATTAACACAGCCTTCATCAACAGCAGACAATTTAAAAAAAAAAAACAAAAAAAAAAAAACCAAACAAATAATGACTGTTAAAACTCTACTGTTTCCCCAGCTATGCAAGACCACAACATTTACAAAGTTCAGGAATGAAGTGGAATTTTACCGTGAACGACCGTGGAAGTGACGAGATTCCTCTTGAGTGGACACCAAAAGGTCTTGGTGTAACCACAGATGTTAACCTAGAGCTATCAGTTTTCTGGTGACTTCTGGGGAGAGAAGCTGAAACCTGAGCTGACCCAGTTTGAGCATTCACCGAGTAGCGGGCAGACAAAAGAGCCGAGCTCTGCTCCTCTGCCAGGCTCTCTGGCAGAGCGGGAGCTTCACAAGCGGCCGAGCTCTTCCGCAGGTTCTCCTTGCGCGGTTGTACGGCATCCGCACTTTTGCTGTGCTTAGCGCTGTAGGAGGTATCTTCTTCCAAAAGGTAATCTTTTGTGGCTGACTGTGTGGAAGGTGCTTTTTCTTCACTAAACACGTCATCATTCAGCGAATACGTCCATCTGCGTTCATGCTTTCGCTGCCCGTAGGAGTCTTGATCTCTGTCCTCCCTATAGGGACAGAAAGCGTTAAAATACCAAAGTAACCTGACAAACAGGCGGGCCCTAAGTCTTTCGACTACTGAATGTTCAAGGCAGAGCATAACCTGAGAAACACATCTCCAGTAAATGAAAATAAATGGCATAATTAAAAAATATTAGTATTTTAATATATATTTTAAATCTACCTTCTTCTCCCTCCTCCCCATTTCAACACTCAGGCATAAATAATACTGTCACGTGATCAGGTTGCCACCACGACAGAAATCTCTTTGCCAAGCTATTCAAGTTACATATCCTCAGAAATTCAGATTTTATTGAGGAAAGAATGGGATGAAGGGAATCCCATAACACTGCCTGAAATGTATAGGTCTGCTGATGTCTCTGCTCTATGAAAATTATATACTGAACTTTAGATAACAAAATGAGATGGTGTCCTGAAGTTCAGATTATTTTTTATCTGCTATTTGTTCCTTTGTCATAAAGGAACAACCACCACAGAAATAATCTTTACCACATCATTTTTAAGATTCTGATTGATACTGGACATTAAATACATTTAGCATCCATATTTCTATTCAAAAGACTAATTTTTGTCCTCACAAATAAATATAAAAAAAATACAGAAACTAAAAATGTTCTGGTTTAAGACTTATTTAAATTTCTTTTATGAATACATGCCATGTGCATATTCCCTTCATCTCAGTCATACAAGCAATCAAAAAAACCAGTTCACATTTTTCACTTTTCGGAGAGAATCTTGTTCTGTAAATACCCAGAGGAACAATTGGGGATAGAGGGGAAATCAAGTAAAAGTTTACAGCTCTGTGATATACATTAAAATTCTGGCTGTATTTATCCACAGTGGCTAAAAGAATAGCAAATGCAGTAGTAGAGGAAAGTGAAATAGTTAAGCTGATCCAAGAATAAAAAAACGCAATTATACAGTTCAACACTATTGTTTTAACCTCTTCAAAGTGGATGCAAATACTGACTTCTCAGTACATTTATTTATGGACAGCAGAGTAAAATAACATTTATAGAGCAAAACTGTTTAACATTCTGTGAAAACAATGCATTGGCGGACCATATCCCACCCTTCAATTGCCTAGATTTCTACACTGTAATTTGCAATGAGAATTGTTGAGATTTCTGCAGAATCAATTGCAACTTGCCAGTAAAAGCTGCTCAGGAATTCAACGGAATAAAAATGCTCAGATTTAAGTTCTTCAACATAATACTCCCATTAGGGTCATTACCTCTCCTGCTGCATTTCTTTCAGTGACTTGTTACTCCTTTCAGACACCTCAGAGGCTCTCCTTTCTATTTCTTCTCTCTCTTCCTTTTTCTTTTGCAATTCGTAAGTGAAGCTCTTTCTACGATTCTTCCATTTAGCTAGATCCTATAAGAATAACATGAACGTATACAATCAGATTTTCTCAAGACCTCGTAAATCTAGAGGCATCCCATCACATGCTACCTACTGCCCTGATTTTATTTGCACGTCTGCATTGCGGCCACATTTTCATCCACCTTCCCCCTAAATGATAAAGGGGTTTTCATATTCCAGTTAGGGTTACAGGCTCACCGCCTATTAAAGTTAACAATTGTAATTACGGGATTACAAGTGGAAGAGTACATGTTTTTTTTTCCCCCCCTTCCCCCCCCCCCCCCCCCTTAACATTTTCATTTTTATTCTAGAATACTTCACCCAATGACACATAGTTGAAAACTAATGCAAATGCCATCTGTATTTCTTTGTTGTAGGCTTTGGAGTCTGGGATATTTTTTTTTTCAAATCTCTAATACTCATACATTAGCTTGAGAATAAACATGCCTTAAATTCTAAATTGAAAACATATACTTCTATATTTTCTTCATTTCTGTAAAACCACAACACGCACTGGCAATGTGCTCCATGAAATACTAGAGGCGAGTTAAGAGAAGTACTGGATCTTAGAACTGAGATGGCTGAGAGGCATTGAACAAACAACCTTGAATTTTTTGCTTGGTGCTCTGTTCTTAATTTCGGCTTCCTGTTGGTAATCCTTGTCAAGCAGAGATTTTAATAAAAAAGAAAAGGTCTTCAGATACCCTTATGATGCTGTGCAAAGCTACCACATCAGTTTGCAAGCTGGATTTAAAACAGAATTATTAGAGGATAGGAGCCTCAAGAATTTGCACAAGGAAATATTATTTTCCTCCCTTCTCCCAAAGGATCAAATAGTCAGACATTCCAATCATTTCACAAAAAAAGTATTCACAAATTTCAGATAACATGTGAAACTGTGCCCTAACGTTTTTTTTATGTCCGTGGAAATCAAGCCTGAAGGCTTTATTACAACACATACAAGTCTTATCCTGAAGCATTAATCAGTTACTTATGATGCTATTTTAAATAATTGCAGTTCTGCACTAAACAAACATCCCCCAAAATGCTAGTAGTTGCATGAGATGGATCGTTTTAGAAGACAGCCCCATAAATTGCACGCTGAAGCCTGCTGGGACAGGGACACTGAAAGTAGGCAGCACCCAGCCCTTCAGCGGGACACGTGAGGAGGGGTGAAAAGCCGTCCTTCCTTCCTGCCACTTTAGATCTTGTTCTTGTAACTGTTCTTTTATCCTTTGTAGCTCTTCATAACGGATTTTGCGCAATGACTGCAGCTCCTCTGCGCTGACATCATTCAAAGATTTACTCCTAGAAAGAAAAAGATTACTCGGCTTTACCACATCTCAGCCATCATTTATGCAAGCGAAACCTTCAGGGGAGAGAGATTTATATTAGTACAACTGAGTGCTCTTGAGTGTTATTTCAAATAGAGCAGGAAACACACGGACAGCTGAATGAGCAAGGCTGGGACATGCTCTAGTGCCAGCACTCAAGTCAGTAGATGCACATTTGAGCAAATAAGATCAGGCTAAGGGAATAAGCAGCTCTGTAGCAGCTCCATGCCATCATTCACATTGAGGTCCTCATACCCAACTGCTACTTCGGTTTAAACTTGTTACTCTCTTTATTGACCTTGCTCCTTTCTTTGACCCAAAAGCCATCCCTGCCCCCTGCTCCCCAAGTCCAACTTCCCACCCTTTCACTTCTCTCCAGTTAACAGCCCCAGAATCACCTCCCGTTCTTTCCTTCCTTGGGATAATCATAAAATCAAGTCAGTTCTTGATGAACGTTTCTAAAAGATAAAAGTCATTCACTGCTAACTGCTCAGTTCATGCATGTCATGGGCCCCACTAGCCCACATTACTCCTCTCCAAGCGTCCCTGATGCTTTCCATCCAAATTGGGATGGCTAACACAGCCATCTTCTCACTAATTGCTTCAACACGGCTACAAGTTTCCCTCATGAACTCCTACACACTAGTTCCCTTTAATCTAAATTCCTCAAAGCTCACTTCTCATGCTTTTTTCCCCTCTCTCCAATGCTACCATCTCCTTTATTCTTTCACACTGCAGTGATAAACGTAACAAGACTTTTAATTTAAGTATAGGACAAGACTCCTGCTCAGAGCTGACCACAAGTGTCTGCGACACCACGCAAAATGCAGGTGTTTCATCATAATGTTCAATGCTCTAATACAAAAGGAAAGCTAGGCTTCAAGGTTTTATTTTTATTTTTTTTAAAATACATTTTTTTGCATTCATCCAAACAAAATCTGAATGACGGCAGGGTGTAACCAAGTTCTAACAGGTCTTGAAAATGTGGCATTTCTGATGGAAAATCAGGGTAAAACCAAAACTGATTCCAGCTCTGGAGCCCTCAGCACAAGAAGGACATGGAACTGTTGGAGCGGGGCCAAAGGAGGGCTACAAAAATGATCCGAGGGCTGGAGCACCTCTCCTACGAGGACAGGCTGAGGGAGTTGGGCTTGTTCAGCCTGGAGAAGAGAAGGCTGCGGGGAGACCTGATTGCGGCCTTTCAGTACTTAAAGGGGGCCTATAGGAAAGATGGGGAAAATCTTTTTAGTAGGGCCAGCTGTGATAGGACAAGGGGTAATGGTTTTAAACTAAAACAGGGTAGGTTTAGACTGGATATAAGGAAGAAATTCTTTACAATTATGACAGTGAAACTCTGGGACGGGTTGCCCAGAGAGGTAGTGGTGACCTTATCCCTGGAAACATTCAAGGTCAGGTTGGACTGGGCTCTGAGCAACCTGATCTGATTCAAGATGTCCCTGTTCACTGCAGGGGGGTTGGACTAGGTGGCCTCTAAAGGTCCCTTCCAACCCTAAACATTCTGATTCAGCACAGGGCCTGGCTCTAATCTGTTACATACCAAGAGAGCTCTGAACTAACAAACCAGACTCTCTCACTTCCTCCCAAGAGGCCCAATTCACTTTCATTTGTAACATAAGACTTTGGCCTCTAGAAATAAAGGCTAAGGCATTAACTCATTATACCCACTTGCTTGTGTATTTTCTGAATGGGAAGAATGCCAAACTTACCAAAAATCTCCTGGTCACTATTGCAGACTTTTTTCTTGTACAGTTCGTCTCCTCATATTTTTTTTTTTTTTATGGTTGAGTTATATCACAAGTAGAAACAGTTTTGGGTAACTGAACTGTACGTAAGTATCAAAACTGTTCCAGATGAGTTCAAGAAAACTTAAATGACTAGGGTTTCCTTTTCTTTCGCTCAAGTTTCTATATCTGCCTGCAACAAAATAGGAAAATCTAGACCTAAATACAATATCCCTAAGGACGGGTATACTCATGTATTCATACCAAGGAACAGGATGTTAGTTTAAATTCTAGTCTTAACTTCAAAATCTAACTAGTGACTTGGGCCTTCTGAATCTCCCTCCCTTAGCATCTAACTCATTCTGAAACTTTTCTTGCTTCTTCTGGAAGTGTTTAGTCATTTACCACGTTTTGCCTCAGGGTAATAATAAATAAATAAATAGTAAATATACATTTTTTAAAAAATAGAGCACCATGCATAACGAAATACTTAACATGCCATCACACAGTAAGTGGAAAAATATTTCTCTGAGTCACAGTACATTGTACCAACGCCTAAATTCACATGGCACTAACCAACAAGTTTACCACTGAGGATTCAATAAGCTGGAGTATATAAAGTAACCAAAGAACACTAATCAATCCCAGAATAAATACCATGTCATTAATTATTTTCAGATTCTAGCTGTACAGCCTTTGAAATAAAATATTTACTAATCTTCCTTTACATTTCTGAATGTTTTAAAGCCTCATTTAAATACAGAACACCAAGTACTTCA